TTTATTAAGAAGAAATTTTCATACTAAAGAATCTTTTATTATAATTAAACTTTTTAATTTTTTATGCTATGAAAAAATAGGTTTTTTAAATATACTATATTGTCATCAATTTTGAATACTTATAAACACATATATTCAAAAAAACAAATGGTATACAAATCAACCATGAATGTTAACTTACATCATCATAAATTGTATAATGAATCAATAATATTAAATGTCAATTAACTATTACAATAGAATTAATTGTGTACTTTGAAATTCATGCTTACAATATTTTAAAAAAATAAATAGAAAGTGAATAATATTATTACTAATTTTTTCCCAAAAAATAATACTAAATATCTCAAAAGTCTCCTTCTATTCTAGTTGATATGTTATGTCATTAAATCATCATTTTAAAAAACAATAGACATATTTAATTCATTAAACTTATGCCTCTACAAAATAAATATGTAAATTACGTGAGAATTTATGAAGATTATAAAAAGATACTTTAAAAATATCTAACACCTTCATATTTTTCTACCCAATTTTTTTTTTAAATAGTAAAATCATTATTTTAGTTAATTGAGTTTGATGAATTAAATATGTCTATTATTAAAAAAAAAAAGTCTTCAATGTCATGGCATGCCAACTAGGAGAGAGTGGGATTTGAAGTGGTAAGTATATTTGAAGGAAAATATTGATAGTTGAGTGATATTTTGGTCCTAAATAAAATATAAATAATATTTCAAGGCAATTTCTTAAACTTGAATGACTATTTAGGGAATTGACTCCTAAATTTATCTACAAGAATAATAAGTTTATCCACGTGTATGTATCTACGACAGAACTCCAAACTATGATGAGTGTGTACTACATATTTCTTTAAAAAGTAGTACTCCCTCCGTTTAAAAAAGAATAACCTCCTTTTTTTTTTAGTCTATTTCAAAAAGAATGATCTCTTTCTTTTTTTGGTAATATTTTAATTTCAGTTTTTCACGTGACATGTTTAAGACCACAAGATTAAAAGATAATTTTGTACATTTGACATAACTTTAATTTAGGACCACAAGATTCAAAAATCTTTTTTATTTTCTTAAACTCCGTGTCAAGTCAAACTAGACCATTCTTTGTAAAACGAAGGAAGTATCACTTTTTCGAATAAATATAGTAAAGACTTAATTTGCTATGCCATAGGAATAATTGCTTCGATCATCCAAAAAAAGGAGCAAAATGATAAGCTGGAATGCCTTGTAAATAAATCTACTCAATAAATAAATCTGATCATTTAAGGTAAATAGATAACAGAATTTGTGATATATACACACAAGAAATTAAAATGAAAGACATCTTCTAGCTCTAGCTAGTCCTAAGAGGATAACAATGGAGGTGTGTGAGGGAATTAATCAGATAACGCAGCGCAAAACAGGTGCAGGTGCCGTAGGCCAAAACTGAAAATCATCATTCTCATCAGGAGTTAAATTAAGATCCACGCAAAATATCCTCTTGCTACTATTCGATTTCTTCAAAACTGGTATCCTTCTCACCGACGACGAATCTTTAATTTCATTTACAGGGGCACGGTGACGCCTCATATGTCCACCTAAAGCCTGCCCCATAGAAAACTCCATTCCACAAATTAAACATTCATGTACCTTGCGTTTTTTGGATAATTTTCCGTGAAGAAACTTTCCGATGTCGATCGTTGATTTCATCGATTTATGACTCGTTCGATGGCCGCCAAGCGCTTGGAAAGATGAGAACCGTCTTTTGCAGGTTTTGCATTCAAATGAATCACGACGATCTCGATCTATGGATGATAAAAGCATTAAGCAGTTAGCCATTGCTTGTGCTTCCACGTCACCGTTGTCTTCTCTGCTTTTTCTCATTAATGCCGTCATTATGAAGAATTGGTTAATGTAGATACAAATAAGATGCTTCGATATTTCTCTACTGAGTTTGAATAAAATGATGACTGATCTATTTGGGCTTACAATTGCTTCACATATTTTATAGTTACATTTTGCGCGTTCTATTCATAATGACAAACGCTAGTAGTGTGTAGAGATTTTCGGATTCAGTGATCTCGCCGCGTTTTCTAAAATCATCGAATATGAGTGTGTTTTTCAGGTAATTTTCATGTAAGTTTAAAGCACAAGGAAGAGTCCATAAAGTGAGCTTCCACGAAGTTTCCAGAATGATTCTAGGTTTGACTTGATCAAATACATGGAACATAATAATTTTGTGCAAAAAAAAATAAAAAAATCTTATCTTGAATTGCAAAAAGAATAGAGAAGATATGAATCTATAATCTTAAAATATAAAAAAGTTATATGACTGACTATCAAAATTTAGAGTCTAATTGTCAATGAAAGTTAGTTCATATAATAGGTGCAAAATTGTCTTTTAGTGTCTTTCTCCCTCCGATAGTTACTACTGCAAAAGATTTAACTAGGGGAATTTTTTGTTTTAAAAAAATGACCTAGTTTTTTTTTTAGTTTGTTAAAAAAAATGATTTTTTTAATTTTTAGCAATATTTTAATTTTAGTTTTTCACCTGATATGTTTTTGGTCATAAGAATAAAAAATGTTTTGGTACATTTGACATAACTTTTATTCAGGACTACAAAATTTAAAAACTTTATTATTTTGTTAAAGTTCATGACAAGTCTCATGCAATTTAGGATAGTTTTAAAAAAATAAAGGAGAAGACCTTATTGGAGTTTACTCTGGGAGGTGAAGGATGTAGTAACTAATTGGCACCCAAGTTAATAGGGAGTTGGACCATCAATCAGTTTGTATTGAGTTGTTCTCTAGTTATTTGTCCATTTTTCCTAATTACTTGTCTATTTTGACAAATCAAGAAAGGATAAATTATTTTACATATTATACCCTCAATTAATTACTTTGAAAAATGTATAAATTCTTGAAAATCTTAAGTTTTTAATTTAATATTTTAATTTTAGTTTTTCACCTGATATGTTTTTGGTCATAAGAATAAAAAATGTTTTGGTACATTTGACATAACTTTTATTCAGGACTACAAAATTTAAAAACTTTATTATTTTGTTAAAGTTCATGACAAGTCTCATGCAATTTAGGATAGTTTTAAAAAAATAAAGGAGAAGACCTTATTGGAGTTTACTCTGGGAGGTGAAGGATGTAGTAACTAATTGGCACCCAAGTTAATAGGGAGTTGGACCATCAATCAGTTTGTATTGAGTTGTTCTCTAGTTATTTGTCCATTTTTCCTAATTACTTGTCTATTTTGACAAATCAAGAAAGGATAAATTATTTTACATATTATACCCTCAATTAATTACTTTGAAAAATGTATAAATTCTTGAAAATCTTAAATTTTTAATTCATTCACTTCACAATTAATAGAAATAAAATGGTAAAATTACTATGTCAATTATTATTTTCTTAATAGGCGTGCTAATTCAAAAATAGATAAGTAATTAGGAACATAGGGATAGAGAGTAGTATACCATGTACAATACGTATAATATAGCATATATATTCTCCATCTTTTAATTTTCTCTATAAAAGACTAAATTATGTCTCTGTAAAACATCACGTCAACTTAACAAATCACAAAATATGATCATGAAATCATGAAATGAGGCAATAATAATACTGAATATGCTAGTATTTATATAGTAAAACTTGTTTTGCATTGACTTATTTTAAGTGTTTTTAAATCAAAATATTTTTAATACATTTCCATAGTATTTGGATAAATTTTAAAAGTGTTTTTAAGCACTTGGTTTAAAACCAAAACAAGTCATAAATTTGTAGAAAAAGCTAGAGCCCGTTTGAATTGAATTATTTTAAGTGTTTTTAAACTAAAATAATTTTAAAATATTTTTTTAGTATTTAAATAAATTAAAAAACTGTTTATGAACACTTGATTTTAAACTAAAATAATAAAAATAAATCAAAAATGAAAAGTTAATGTTTCCTCGTAATATGATATAAACATTTTTCAAGGTACGTATGGTAGGGACTATCTTTTCCAACTTGAATTTATGATTACTAAATGGAATCAATTACAAATTTGACCAAATTAGTTGTCTGACAAACTCTAATAAGTCAATTTCCACACTAAAACTATATATGAATCAATACGTGACACGCTTATCCACTTAAATACACTATTATATATAGAGTTTCCTTCATACTTAAGATTTTCGCTCTTTAAGAAATAATGACTTAACTGCCTACGTGCATGTGCATACAAACTAGCCACCTTATAAACCGTGTTCTTAAGATGTGTTCGAAGGTTCATCTTTCACACACTATATATAATCTTTTGGTGGCCAACTTAATTTCTTTAATTTTCCCACAAGATAACAGTTAGTATATACAATATATCTCAGTCCTTTTTACTTGTCTAATATTAACTTACAGAAATTAATTACTTAATATAATGACAAATTTACTATATTACCTTTTGTATATAATAAATTCAATGATTTGAAAAATATATTGAGAGATTACTGTAGATATTGAAATTTTGTGAGACTTTACAAGACGTGTTCAATTTGAGTTGAAACTCTACAATTTGAGTTGGGATTCTACAAGATCTATAAATAATAAATTATCTATTGATTTTTTAAAATTGAACAAGTAATTCACTACGAGTAAAAGTGATAGTAATCACTAATCAACAGACAAGTAAAAGTGAGCGAAAGAGAGAGTAACATTTTTTGCTTTTATCACAAAATCATTTTGAGGTGGTATTAATTGATAATTACACTAAGTTAAAAAACTTGGTAATTAATATTGATGATTATCTAATAACCACCAGTTATATTGATTGGCCACCATATTAATACTCCAATAACGTAACCAATAAGAAGTATGGATCCTCAAGAGTTCCATGTTGCCTTATTGTTGTACAAATAGGACTAAAAATAAAAATACAGAACCAGCCACTGTTACAGCTCAAAAGTTTTTTTTAAAGAAAAGGAAAAAAGAAAAATTAAGCTTCCTTTGATTGTGAATTAACATATAGGCATTAATAATTGCTCAGTATTTTCCTTAAACAATTAATTAGCAAAAACCTAAAGAGACTTGTCATCTGCCGGAAAAAGGACTCGTTAATCAACTTATGAAACAACTACTGCTCATTCTATGATTCTAAAGAAATCTAAACTTGTAGATTTTTATATTACCCACGACGATTAATCTGAATTATGCGCTCCCATCAAATTTTTTTCCATAAGTTCACACAAAGTTATTGATTTTGTTTTGCAAAACAAAACTGGTTGAATTAAGAAGGAAATAATATAATGAAATAAAACAATTAATCCTGTAACTAGTTTATAAGTTAGACAAAATTTGTATCTGTTTCATATACAGACTAGCCACAAATCAACAGAAATATGACTAAAAAAAAAGAGAGAAAGAAACAAAAATTTATAATATCTACTTTTCTCTAATCCAAAAATAAAACAATTTATTTAAAATATCTAGAACAACGAATGAACTACTGTAAACGCGGGGATAATCCCCAACGTCAACTGATCATTCTCATACGGTGTCAAATTCAAATCTAAGCAAAATTTCTTTCCACTCTCCGTCTCCATCTTTTCAGCAGATTTGTAAGTATTTTTCTCCTTTGGTTTCTCCATTAATTTATCGCGATGCTTTCTCATATGTCCACCCAAAGCTTGTCCAAGTACAAATTCCTCGCCGCAATAAGAGCATTCATGTTTCTTCGTCTTAGATTTAATCGAATCTGAAGGTAATACCAGTTTTGGTTTCTTGTGACTTGCTCTGTGTCCGCCTAAAGCTTGGAACGATTCAAACTGCTTCTTACAAGTTTTGCACTCGAAAAATCGACGTGATAGTGAACTATTCTTCTCTAAAATATTGACACAATTAGCCATGGCTAGTGTCTCCACTGTTACTATTTCTTCTTCTCTTCTCCTCTTTATTGTCATTATGACAGTCTGCAGAATTTTCAGTCGTTTACTGGTATGTGGGTTTTATATATAGTATAAGTGACTATTCTCGTTTCTTGTGCCCTAAGAAAAAAAGAGAGACAAGGACTTTTTTTAAACCGACACTCCTTCTTTTGCTTAGAAATTATTTATGGTGTTTCTCTTTTACTAACCTAAATATTTACTATAAAATATTATACTACTAGTATTTTTTTTAAATAGGAATTCTCATGTTTTGTTTTAATTTTTCAAAAATTATAAATTTAATTGTATAGTTAGACTGACCTTTTTATTTAGGAGATTAAAATGATTGATATTGAAAAATAGGAGTAAAACACTTATACTCCGTTGAGTAGGATTTAATTTGTTTGAATTATATATGGAGTTAAGTGTTTGATTTTAGAATACTTATAATTTTACTAAGAATTAAAGTCTATTTAATTTTTTTTCCTTGTGAATACAGATAAGAAAGAAGGATTGTGTTAATGCAAGACTGGTTCACAAGTTGAAATATTCCGAGTAAATTGCTGAACAGATAAGTCCTTGCTTCTCAGGCAATTCAATTAGCTATAAAGATTCCTTTTTAATACTTGTACTGATATGACTCGTCAAATGTCAATAATGAACCTTCACGGATAATATGTAAATCACTAGTAATATTGTCTGCTCAGGCCCGCATGACTTCAAATATCAATAAAGAAACTTCATGGATAATAAGAACAATATATATTTCCTAATTACTTGTTCATATTTCATTTTTTAGTTGTCCATAATTATTTGTCCATTTTGATAAATCAAGAAATGACAAAATTTTTTTTACCTATTATACCCTCAATTAATTATTTTAAAAAGGTAGAACTTCTTGAAAATATAAAGTTTTTAATTCATCCACTTCATAATTAATAGGGGTAAATTGGTAAACTTACTATGTCAATTATTGATTTCTTAATATGTGTGTTAATTCAAAACTGGACAAGTAATTAGAAACATAGGGAGTACTTGTGATTTCACAAAATCAATGCATAAATGACACTATTCATCCTATTTTACCCTTGAGAGTTATTAATCTAGAAAGTATGAATTTAATAACCAACATAGAAAACTAATTAATTTATTCATGTTTATTGGTCAAATTAATTAATTAAAATTAATTAATTCATGTTTATTATTAAAAA